GAATGATCATCTAATTTGGCTTTTTATTATCCTGTTTTAACATCCCCCATAATTGGGTAGAGTTATCATCAATAACAGATGCTAATGTAGTACCATCACAAATTGAATTAACATTATTTGAATGACCATCTGATTTGGCTTTTCATTATCCTATCTTAACATCCCATAAACAGATTGTGTTATCATGATTACAAGATGCTAATTTAGTACTATCAAGAGAGTAACAAATTGAAATAACTGCATTTGAATGACCATATAATTTGGCTTTTTATAATCCTATCTTAACATCCCATAAACAGATAGACTTATCTGCACTACAGATGCTAGTGTATTTTCATCAGGAGAGTAGCAAATTGAATAAACTTTATAAGAATGACCTTCTAATTTGGCTTTTTAATAACCTGTCTTAACATCCCATTAACAGATAGACTGATTATGACTACCAGATACTAATGTATTTCCATCAGAAGAGTAACAAATTGAATATACCATATCTGAATGACCATCTTCATTGGCTTTTAATTTTCCTGTCTTAACATCACATAAACAGATAGACTTATGATGATTACAAGATACTAATGTATTTCCATTAGGAGAGTAACAAATTGAAAAAACTGTACTTGAATGACCATCCAATTTGTCTTTTTATTATCTTGTCTTAACATCCCATAAACAGATAGAGTTATCATGACTATCAGATGCTAATGTATTTCAGTCAGGAAAGTAATAAATTGAATTCACTGTTCCAGAATGAATATCTAATTTGGCTTTTAATTTTCCTGTATTAAGTTTCCATAAACGCATAGACTTATCATCACTACCAGATGCTAATTTATTTCCATCAGGAAAGTAATAAATTGAATTAACTGTTCCAGAAGGACCATCTAATTTGGCTTTTCATTATCCTATCTCAACATCCCATAAAACTAATAGACTTATCATGACGATCAGATACTAATGTATTTCCATCAGGAGAGTAAAAAATTGAATTAACTGTTCCAGAATGACCATCTTCAATGGCTTTTCATTTTCCTATCTTAACTTCCCATAAACGGATAGACTTATCATGACTATCGGATACTAATGTATTTCCATCAGGAAAGTAATAAATTGAATTAACTTCACTTGAATGACCATCTTCATTGGCTTTTAATTTTCCTGTCTTAACATCCCGTAAACTAATAGACTTATCATGACTATCAGATACTAATTTATTTCCATTAGGAGAGTAACAAATTGAGTTAACTTCATTTGAATGACCATCTTCATTGGCTTTTAATTTTCCTGTCTTAACATCCCATAA